ATATATAGAGAGACATTATAGAGCCTGGATAGCTCAGACGGTAGAGCATCAGACTTTTAATCTGAGGGTCCAGGGTTCAAGTCCCTGTTCAGGCGAAGTGCACTTTTTACAGGACTTTCTTGAAAGTGAGTCCTCGTGGCTCATTCATGCTTACCTGTACAAATTTAGGTTAAATGAAACAGATACATTCTTATAGAAAACAGAGCCTGTACAGCTCAATCAGTATATCTTCAGACTCTTAAATTAAGGGTCCGGAGTTCAAGTCCCTGTTCAGACAAATTGGACTTTTTACAGGACTCTCATGTGAGTGAGTTATTGTGACTCATTTACACTAGTATAAAAACTGGTTAAATTGAAACAGACAGATACATATATATCAAGATTATAGAGCCTGGATATCTCAGACGGTAGAACATCAGACTTGTAATCTGAAGGTCCAGGGTTCAAGTCCCTGTTCAGGCGAATTGTGCTTTTTAATGGACTCTCTTGTGAAAGTGTCCTCTTGGCTCATTGACAGTTACCTCTATGAATACGTTAAATGAGACAGACAGACAAACAGAAACATATATATCAAGATTACAGAGACTGTATAGCGCTAACGGTAGAGCATCAGACTCTTAATCTGAGGGTCCAGGGTTCAAGTCCATGTTCAGGCGAATTGCACTTTTTACAGGACTTTCTTGAAAGTGAGTCCTCGTGGCTCATTCATGCTTACCTGTATAAATACAGGTTAAATGAAACAAACAGATACATTCATATAGAAAACAGAGCCTGTACAGCTCAATCAGTATAGCTTCAGACACTTAATTTGAGGATCCAGAGATCAAGTCCCTGTTCAGACAAATTGGACTTTTTACAGGACTCTCGTGTGAGTGAGTTATTGTGACTCATTTACACATGTATGAAAACTGGTTAAATTGAAACAGACAGACAGACAGATACATATATTTCAAGATTAAAGAGCCTGGTTAGCTCAGATGGTAGAGCATCAGACTCTGAATCTGATGGTCCAGGGTTCAAGTCCCAATTCAGGCGAATTGAACTTTTTGATGGACTCTCTTGTGAAAGTGTCCTCTTGGCTCATTGACAGTTACCTCTATGGACATGTTAAATGAAACAGACAGACAAACAGAAACATATATATAGAGAGAGATTATAGAGCCTGGATAGCTCAGACGGTAGAGCATCAGACTTTTAATCTGAGGGTCCAGGGTTCAAGTCCCTGTTCAGGCGAAGTGCACTTTTTACAGGACTTTCTTGAAAGTGAGTCCTCGTG